AGTGTGGATTCCCTAGGTCACACAGCCCATCAAAACAGAACTAAATGAACCTGGGTTCCTTGCCCTCTCACCCACTGCTCCTACGATTTCACTGTGCTGCCCCTAAGGGGAAACTGGGACTGCTCTCTAAACGCTCCTATAGTCCCTTAGAAATACACTATGGACTCAGCATCCATGATTACTTTTAACATTCTTCTTAACCAATTTATATTATCAATTTTCTTAGAGATAACAAATATCCTGAATTTACAAATATCATGAAAAACCATACAAAATTTGTGAATGGCTCGCTTTGTCTGAAAGTTCGTATTGAGCAGAAGTCAGCCTTTCCCTAACTTGTACCCCTGGGTGCAAGTTTGACACTATCCCTCTTTAAAATGAGGTGGAGCTCAGAACTAAACACTATTTGGTTTCACAGATACATTTCTTCTCGTATACTATCCCATCAGCTGCCTGCCATTAAATCCAAAGTGGTCTCTTAGTTTACATCTTATCTTTCTGTTTGTATCAGATGGTGTGTCGCTGTTTGGGCCAGTCTCCAAAGCCCCTCCTTCTTTCTTCTAGAATTTGGTTATTTATTGAGCACATACTGTGTCATGCACCTTTCTTTAAAATCTTTTAGCATCTGATTGCTATAAACAGAGAATCTCTTCTTTTTTTTCTTTCTAGAAACCTTTTTAAGCACTTTAAAGAATTTTCACAATTCCATAATTTCAAACTGCTCCAAGATGCACAAAATGTCTTATCTGAGATTTGAAATGCTTAATGTGAAGCTCTCGAAGTTTCCTGTAAGGCTAGGCCTCTGTCAGTGGACTGGTGCAGATGTACCAACTCTGCGTTTATTATGAAGTTATTTACAGCCCTCTAGTGGGCTGTTAACGTAACGTAAGAAGGGAAGCTGAGGGCAGTGGGGTATGGCTTTGTCCATTCCTTCATTCGTTTGTTCATTTATTCAATGCACAAATGTTAACTGAGTGCCTACTATGTTCCAGGTATGTTTTAGGTGCTGGAGATACTGCAGGGAACAAAACAAACAACGACAAAATTACATGCATTAGTTACTTAAGAAGAAGACAGTAGAACAAATTTTGAGCAAAGACCAGGAGTTTGATTTTGGACATGCTAAGTTGGAGATGCTCACTCGTCTTTCAGGTAGTTTCTTTTAAAAACGAGTTGGTGTCTCTCGGAACACCTGAAGAGCACTTGTGAGCAGAATGCGTAGACATCATGCAAATAATCTCTTTATTTGAGATTTCACCAAATTTAAATTAACACTGAGCACATTTAGCAAGATAATTGTGAAGACGGTGTATTAGACCCTGGGTGTGGGAGGGTGGCTATGGAGAAGTTCAAGCTTGGCCTTACCTTCATGGAACTGATCATCCCTCAGTTCTGTTTAAATGCAAACCTCTCAGTCGCTGCCTCAGTTCCTTGTTTTTTTCACTTTCATCACAATTTGTAATGGTTGGATTTCTCTGTGACCTTGTGTACATTGGCCTCAGGGCTGCACGTCAGTCTTACTCACTGGGGTGTCTTCAGCACCTGGCAGGACCTCAATTTTTATTTGTTGAAGGATGAGTTTTCAAATTAATGTCAGATAAGATAGACATACAGGGGAAGCTGGTGATATAGATTAGAATATGGAACATTCTAAATGAGTAAAGAACACAATTAATTGCTCTCTTAGGAGACCACAGTGGATTGAAGGCAGTCAGGAAAAATTTTAGGGAAGAAACTGGGAGTGAGCTGAGTCTTAAGGGAGGGGTGTTTCCTGTAAAAGTTTTCCTGATTAACCCCTACATGACCCTCGGTCACCAATATCTCTTTCTGCTCTGGTGTCTCGTGGTCCCTGCTGGGCTGTCCTGCCCCTCACTCCCATCCAATGGTATGTGCTAATTCTGGCCAGTCATTAGGGTTTGTCATGCCATGCCTACGTCACTCTTTTCTTTATCATTGTCATCATGGCCCCACTGCCTCTTTTTTAATGAACACCCTGCATATCAATGCCTATCATAACGCCTGGGATATAGTAGGTGCTCAATAAACATGTTAAATGAACATGTGATCCTAAGAGCTACTCTCCATACTCCTGGGATGACCCTTTCCCCAATATTTAGTCTCTACCATAGGGCTGGGGACATTTAAAACATAAATCCTTTAGGACTTCCTCTAAATCCTTGCATGATTAATAAGCTGCTTTCTCATATTTTTATTTAACAAAGATTTATTATGCATTAAATAAATCTCGTTTATTATAGGACTTACGCTGGCTACAAGAAACTTAGAGTTGAGCTACTGTGAGACCCATGTGAACAAATAATGATAAATAACAAGTTAAGGGTTGATTTATATACAAAGCAGTCTGTGGACAATGCAGATGAAGAACTTGCTTGTTGTAATGTGCTAGGTAGAAGAGGCTTCCCAGAGTACAGGTTGGCAATGAATCCTGAAAGACAAATTGTGTCCTCTAGACAGACAAGATTCTGGGTAGGGGAGTGGATAAGGGAGTTGGATGGACAGTTTTTCAGACAAATGGAATAACAGGTGGTAAGACGGTGGTGGGGGTGGGGGCTGAGAAAGTGTGCCAGGTCAGGGGAATTAGGGCAAAGCACAAGAGCAGAAGAGTGGCCAGAGAGAAGGTGTAGGACTGGATTTCGGGCAGGCCAGCCAAAGAGCTCCATGGATGTCAATTTTTAAGCGGTCCTAAAATAAAAAATATAATGCCAATTAACGCAGCCATTAGTAGCTCCTTAACATAACTTTTAAAACCTAAATTGGTCCTATTCCCTTGAGGTTAGACTGTGCCCTTGAATGTTACTTCAAAAATTCTCCTGGCTGGCAATTCCACTTATATTTGGTTCATGTAATAAAGGCCTTATTTTTAACATGAGGAGGTTTGAAATTCTTAATAAGAAAATCAAGTTCCTTTCAATTCCATGTTGAACAAATATTTAAAGAAAATTGACCTATTTGTGCACTGCCAAATTATTAGCCGTCTGTAAAGCACAGATTTCTTCATCCACACCTGGATGGAGGCCTCCAGGTCCACTCTCCCCGGTAAAGGTGGGACTGTCTCATCTGGCTGGGTGGGCTGAAAATGTTGGCTTCTGTGCATCCCCAGAAGAGGCTATATTCAATGAAGTGTTATCAGCTAATTATGTGTTCAGCACCCCAGATAACCTATTTTGTAGGGTTTTTAAGTGGTTTTCTTTTTGTGTGTGTGTGTTTTTGTAGGTGTCTGAAAGATAAACCTGTCTTTTCCTTAGAGCCACCATATTCCCCTGGGTAACCCAGAACACCAGACTTCCATATTCTATGCTGAGGGTTTGCACATGTCCTCTGCATGTTGAACAGGCGTCTACATTTGGTGTTCAGAGATATATTCTATGATAACAGCACCCTGCACGAAGTCGTGTGCAAACTTTAAACAGTTACTCTGAGTATCTACTGTTTTTGCATGGATTCTTCTATTTCTGGCTGTTGGACCTAAAGCAAATAATTGAACCTTTCTGTGTTTCCGTTTCCTCATTATACGAATTCCTGCTTTATAGGTTTATGCTGAGGTCTGCACGAGAAATGGGGTATCTGGTCACTGGGATGTCCGATGTATGAGCTGTGCGCCTGGCACAGTCGTGCACCTGTCTCAGGGAGCACCCCTTTGCGCCTCCTTCAGGGAGGGGCTGTGCTTTTCATCCCTGTGCTCAGCTCTCTCAAGTCTTCGGCGTGATCCCGCCCAGACTCGGGGTACAGGAAGCTGAGGGAGGGCTCACAGCGCAAAGGTCAGAAGGCGGTTGGTTGAGGCCGCGTGCGGGGAAGTCTGAGGTCTCTGGACTTCGGTTACCTGGACGACTTCGGCACAAAGCCCTGAGTGGCAGGGACCGCCCGAGGCCGCTTTCTTTCCCTGGCCCTCCCGGTGATTTAGCTCCGCTCCTCTCCCCCAGGCGGTAGAAAGAGGACGCGGACGCGGTTGCCTATGGATACGCCTTCCCAAGATGCCTAGGGTGTTGTGTTCCTCTTAGCCAATCAGAGAGGCGAAGCCGCCTCGCCGTGGGCCAATAGGCTGCGAGGCCAGGCCCCGGGACGGTTAAACTGGAGGCCCGGGCGGCGGGCGGTGCGACTCGGC